CTCTAGTGTTGATATTTGAGCTAAAAACTGAATGTTTTGCATCTTATTGTTTTTAAATATGGCCTACTTCAAGTGTTTAAAGTAGTATTAAATGCTCATACTTTTTTCAATAATGAATCAAGATCAAATAAATTTACATTGCCCAGCAGAGTATTTCTTTACATTTTTGCCCAAGCATTTACAGTCATCATGTTTCAGAACAGCTGCTTCCAAGTCTCTCAACTCAGCTTCCCAGAACTTCCTGTGCAGTACAAGATCACAAGAAAACAGTGCAGTATCCAGGAACTGTCCATCTACTAGCTTGGAGAGGGGAGGAATGAGGAGCAGGGAAGCAGAGAGCAGGGGACTGGCTTGCCCTGCTGTACCTGTGTGTTTGTGGCGATACACACAGCTTACTAATACACACTAGTTGGCTCAATAGGACCCTGCAGGGAAAAGGAGCCACCCTAAAATTATAGCTGAATCTGCAGGAGGCTGAAACCTTTTAAACATCAAGAAGCACCATCCAGTGTAAGTGATTTTAATCAGCATTTAAAATAGCTTAAAAACCTTTTGACTTTTGTAATAAATATACAATTTCATGCAGGATTTTTAGATGGGAAGCTGCATTCTGTGTGTCTGTGCATTCACATTCTGCCTACATCAAGTGTTTACATACTGATTATGGAGTCTATACAATAATCCTAGCTGTTTAAAAAATAGACTCTAATTTTTATTTTATAATAAAAAAATTGCTAATCTCTCCCCCCTCCATTGTGGTCCAATCAAACTGCTTACATACTCTCTAGTCACTGTGCCATATGTATGGCTGTTATCTATAAAATACATCCTGCTAATTTCAGGATAATAAAATGCCTCCTCTTTTGAATGTTGTGCTATGGTTTTAAAGTGTTTTTGTGTATCTGTTTTAGTAAACTTTTGATACAATGAAGTTTGGTTCTGTGGAGAAAAAAAAGATCACAACTATGAAGCTATTTGCCACTGCTGGTCAATCGAAACAAAGTTGAGGGGGGCTTTAGCTTTTTTTTTTTTTTTCCTATAGCTTTTAATGCTGACCTGTTACTACTAGATGAAAAAAAACTACCTAAAAAAAACTTTTCTTTAAGTTGAAATGAAACAGAATGAGGCACTGTTGCTCTATTTAAGCCAAGCAACAAAGTAACGGTAATAAAAATCGATTACGTATGCAAAATATGGGATCCCAGAATACAATGTCACTGACACTTATATTAGAGAGGCATAGTGTTTTCACATGTCACCCTCAAAGTTGCAAATAAAGGAAGGACCCTTTCCCTACTGAACAATATATATTTTTTTTAAAGCACTTGTACATATTTCCCATGGCAGTTCCTGGCTCGCCCTCTGTTTGATAGTCCCTTGCCTATTAACTTGGAAATGTCCAGAGCTGATTTTCAACATTCCCCCCACATACCCTGTTGACATCAATCAGCTTAGGGTGAAATTTCCATAATTTTCAGAACATGAGTTTCACAAATGGATGGCAAATCGAACTCAGGTTATTTCACTCATCCCTATATATGATTCATAATATTATAGGTGAAAAAAGAACCTGTGTTTGACAAATAATGTTTAGATTGTGAAATTGGACAAACTGCAGAATGGTCATATAGTTTTACGATGGAATTATATTATCTTTTATAATTATACTTTAAATGTAATATTGGACTCCTGATTGACCAGTATAAATAGATCTCAGTCTGCTCAAGCCCATTCTGTGATGTCCCTTGGAGTTAGGCTGATGAGCTTTGTTGTTTTTGAGATGTGATGAATACTTGCATTAATCCAATAAACATGATTTATATATTTGTTATCTCTGTTGCATACAGTAATGTTTAATAAACCTACAACTTGAAAAGGAAGCAAGGAAGTTTTTTTTTAAAGTGCATGTAAACTATATCAATATTTCCTTTTAGTCTGTTAAATATACCATTGAAAGGGTTTTGTTATATATTTTTTAAAAGAACAAAAAACTGTTGATTCTGCCAGAAATATTGTCAGCTGATAACTTGTGCTCTTTGTCTGTGATGACTGATATCAGTTAGCATTGTTCCCAGTTCTCTATGTAGACTACAGAACACCCCACCCATGTTATGGAGATGTGCAGAGGAAGCATTGTTTTGTAGTGTCATCCTATGATACTCCTGTCGTAGGGTGACTATTTTGGGGGGTTTAAATTACATTAAAAAAGAGCAAATTATGAAAATAAATTGTGAAAATGTTGTGGCATCTTTTCATGGAGAGAGGCGTTGTTGTTGTTATTATTATTAATAATTTTATTAGTCATACTCCATAACAAACTATTTTACACAAGAAGATACGTTTTTGTTTGAAGCAGCTTAATAGCAGATCTTTCCTAAACGCAGCAGGATTTATTAAATAATGGATAGTAAAAAGCAATCAATCAGAAATGTGTAGAGCAGTGGACTAATGAGGGCTTATATCTGACTGGCCGCAGCCAGTTACTGCAACCCATGCTTTTTAGACTATGTTATTAAGTAAGATCCCATGTGAATAAGTGTCAGCAATGGGTTAGCTGACATTAGAGGGTTTATTATTCTTCTTGCTTAAATTACAAATAGCAAGTAATGAACTTGATTATCATTTAGATTGTTTGCCTTAGAAAAGTGGAGTGGGGTATTGCTTTGCAAAAATAAGCTAGTGATCATTCTCTTTCCCTGAAGAGTAGCTGCCTTTGAGAGATTATAGTACTCCTCTTTCTTAGATAGACCATCAATAAGGACCCAAGAGTGAAAGACACATTTGGGAAACTATTCATGAAGGACCACCAACACTGTGCTCTCTCTCAAAGAGAGAGTTGATGGCATGGCTGTGTCGGTGAAAGAGAGCTGATAATGTATTATTTTGAGGAAAAAAGCTGATGGCACAGCTCTATTGGAAAAAGGCAGTTGATGGCACAGCTCTGTAGAGGAAGAAAGCTGATAGCATGGCTCTGTTGAAAGAAGAGAACTATTGCCAATGTTGCAGCTAGCTATTTGTTTTGCTAATTGTAAATGCATCTTATCGTCTAAGCCGAACCTCCGGCAGGCTACTCGCTGCTTTTCGATCTATACTTATAGATGCCGAACAGCAGTGAGTAAATTGCCGAATGCAGCTGAGAGGCATTCGGCTCGGCAGTTCTGCTCGGTCCCTCTGTGGGACCGAGCAGAACAGAAAAATAGTTTAAAAAGTAGAAAAAAATAAATAGAAAATGATTGTGCGGAGCTAGCAATGACAGCTAGCTCCCCCAACTGTTTTCTATTGTCCGGTGGTTCTGCTGCCTTCCAAAAAAAGAAAAAAAACTCTCCCGGGCGCTCCGTCTTCAGAAAAGAAAAAATTATTAAAACATTTTGGCCATAGGAATGCATTGCTAGATAGCCAATAGCAAACAAGCTATTGTTCCCGCCCTCTGCTGCTGTCAATCAGTAGTTGTGGACCTGATGGAGAACTGCAGCAGAGGGTCAGAATAAAAAAAAAGAAAAAGCAGTGTTTCTCTCCCTGGCGGCCAGGAGCGGGAGACTCCCGGAGCGCCAGGGAGAGTTAGGCTTTTTGGAGATCTGTTAACCAGGGACACTGATCTCTCTGCAAGTGGCCGGAGCCAGCCGTGATCTGTCAGAAGCAGGCTGTTGGCTGGCCAATGGCCGGCCGCTCGGCCAGCTTCGGCTTTCAGTGCGGCTCAGCCGAGCTGAGGCATATGCGTTTGGCTCGACTGAGCCGCTCGGCCACGTTCGGGAGCTGTACGGGGTATACTGAATAGCCCGTACAGCAGCCCTTCGGTTCTACTAAACCGAAGGGGTCCTGTGGCCGAAGCTATCCGAAGGAACAGCCGAAGCTACGGCTAGATCCTTCGGCTGCTTCGTGAATAGACCCCATAGTTTTCAAAAACGAATGTAAAAAGTAACGTTTCATAACGTAACATTCAAAACTAAAAAAACAAGAAGAAAAAAACAAAAAAAACAAAATGTGAATTCTTTAGTCTGGCCAACTTTTGGCATCCTAAAGTAAAACTATGGTTGTACTAAAATGTTTAAATTGACACCACCGACAAATAGCTGACTGCAGGAACCTTTAAGTTCCAGCATCTGTTGTCCACCACACTTTTCACCCAAGTATACAAATAACAACCTCCTCAAAGTGAAATGGGGAGTGTCTGATCTCTGCACCAGGAATTTAAAAGAATTCATGGCAGCTTTAGGCAGCATTGGGGGAGGCAGATCCTTCTAGTACCCCCTGGCAGCTTATTTGGTTGGCTATTTGCTAATGTAATTTAGACATTTTAGCAAGCCTGCAGGTCTGATTAATGTTTAACCAAAAACTTTGCAATGTGTTAGGTGATATAAAGTCTTTTGGAGAGAATGGATAGTACATCCTAGGAAACATTGACTTTCCACATCTGTCTACATATTTATTGTCTGCATTGCACATGACTGTGGTTTTCTACACAATTAATCTTTGATCTGCACCTCAGTGTTGCTCATGACTATGTGTTACTGTACATATTAAGCTTATATGGAGAAGTTTCTGTGATCAGTTATGGATAAATTACTATCACTAGTGTGACCAAATGTTAACAATGTACCTAAGCTTTTAAGTCACTTGCCCAACACTCTGTTAGCATTGAAACCAAATTTTAATGAATTAAACTGTAGTAACAAGTTGTTAAGCATAAAATACAAATTATTTAACCACAGTGTTCAATCACAGTGCTGAATTGAAATTCTTCTGTGCATAAAAATTTAAAGAGAATAGAAAAATCTCCTTAAATTTTAGTATAGAAAGAAAATAGAGGTAGTAAAATACTGAAAAGACAATACAATTTTAAACACAGGACAGAGCAAATAACCAAAAAACACATATTATTCTATTTTCATTTTCAAATGTTTGCACTCACAAGTCTGTATTCTTCAAGAAATAAAAAATAACTTTAGGCAATGGAAGAAATTATGCTTCAGTTTTATATAAAATAGAAAACATCCAAAAACACCAAGAAACTAAATGTTTTGCCTGACAGAAATTGTAAAATATAAATAGGCTTTTCCCCAAATAATGGGGTTGTTTAACTAAAGTAGCATTTTTTTCAATCAGTTTAGTGAGTTGCCATTTACTTCAACTACGCAGTCATGTGTAAGAGAAGCCCACTTTTTTGTAAATACTGCTGCACATGGTTGGGTATTTGATGTGAATGCAAGATCCAGGATCCCTGGGCTACAAGAAAAAAATATGACTTTAGTTATTACTCCGATTTGTCACTTTAATTTAACACATTAGCAAAAGAGGAGTCCATTAGGGAAATAAGCCAGTTGGCATTCAACTGAAGTGTCTTTCTTCCATAAGGAAGAAAAATCAGTGTTTCATTGATTTGCGTCAATAGTCCAAACACTTATACTTTTAATAATAAGCCATTCATTTTGGTTTTTAGTCACTAGAATTCGAATACAGTCAATGTTAAAAAGAACTTTACGATCTATGCTGTCCAATTCAAAGTTCCCATCTTTGAAGTCACCCAGTCTAAGATAAGTAGTACACTTTTTGTTCCTTTTACTCCCAACTAGTCTTTCTCCAACTTCTAATATTCCATGATGCAAGATGTCATTTTGGCGATCTTCTGTTCCTGTGCAGACTTTAATTTTGCTTATTTTGATAGGTTTTTCAAACACTATATGATAAAAGTCCCCACTAGAAGGAGTCTTTGCCCAGAAATATTCTTCTGTACTGCTGTATGCTTTATGGACATCATAATTTTCAAAGACATTCATATTTGTGTTGAGGATGGAAGAGGGGTTATCGGGTATATCAAATGAGTCCTCCTCGAAATCATCATCCTTCAGCTTATTCTCAGCACCTTTATATGATGAATAATATCCCATATGCTGAAAAAGTGATGGCTTGAATCGAATTGCTTCTTTCTGAGCTAGAAGACTTCTAAAATGAATAAGCAGCCAATCACAAGGCATTTCCTGGTAAAACATGAGTAAAAAATGGGCTAGACGTGGTAGATCATAAGCGTGATAGAGCTTGCCGATGTATCCCAGCTTTGAAAACTCCAAGGTGACCCAGTTTGAACCTTTCCGTGAGTTAATAACTTTTTTAATTGCTGTCAAAAAATTCTTAGAGCACCTGACATCATCTTCCAGCATGAGATAATAATCTGAGAGGTTAGCACAAAAGTTTAATAGGTAGGCATAGTCAACGTTTTGTTTGGATCTAAATTTGACTCTGGCATCAGGGTCATTGTAATTTCTTTTCAGACCTTCTAAGACTGGGTAGAATTGTACTGGAGTGTGGATAATTGCTAGTCTTCCAGCAATAATATGATGAGAGAATTTTCTTGATATATCTTGCACTGTGCTTTCACACCAGCTCAGGTCAAACTCTGCTAAATGAACAACTACAGCTATTTCTTTCAGTTCTTCATAACTTGACTGTTCAAATATAGACTTAATAGTTTCAAGTAAATAATTCCCCTTCTTCCTTTTCACAGAAGACAGTCCAATTGTAAGGAACCCTAAATAAAAATAAAAAAGTATTCACATCAAGTATATTATACTGCATTTGAATATGAAGAAGCAAGTTGTACTCTTCTATGTACAATGTATATTCTGTTCTGAATAAATGTCTTTTGACATGAACTGATAGATTGTTTGTGTGCTATTGTAATACCCCACTGCAACAGAAAAGTTATATAATGTTGTTATTATTTCTACCACTTTATAGCTGCTCATGCACCTCCCATGGCTCTGTGGCCTGCCTTATAGTAGATATGCCCGGTTGGCAATCACCCATATTAGGTTGGATCAATAGAAACATTGATGCATACATGTACAAGTGTGGCTGCCAAACAACTGCATCTTGCATCCCACGTAAACTGATAATCAAGTAGAGATATGTCAGGTAGGATAGTCAGTAACCACCTCTAGGTTTTCAAGTTATTAACAGTGAAGTTTGAAAATGAGCCTATTACTCTGAATGTTTTATGCTAAATGCAAAATTTAAGTTAAATCTTTCAAAAGATACAATATTACCCTAAATTTGTACTTAATTTATGTTAATGGGCAAAATTTAGGATAATAAGAATATTTTATAGGCCGAACTATCACAAACGTTTTAAATTTTTTTTGGTATCTTCTAGGAGACCATTTGCACAAAGTGCTTCCCCCTACTGTTATTCATGGCTGTTTTTTGCTGTGGACACCCCGCCCTCCATCCAGACTGCTGATATGGAGAGAGAGAGGGGGGATTTATCAAAACTGGAGCAGACATAATCTGGAGCAGTTGCCCATGGCAACCAATCAGCATCTCTTTTCAGTTTGGTCAGTTGAGATTTAAAAATGAGAGAGAGAGGCTGATTGGTTGCATTGCAAATTTGCTTCAGCTTTTGTCTGCTCCAGTTTCGATAAATTCCCTCCACAGTCTCTTGTACTAGCTGCCAGCTTGATACATACAAACAGTCACAATACAAGCCAGCAGCTAGTACTCTCGGGCAACTGAGCCCATACAAAAGCTACTACCGTGTTTCCCCGAAAGTAAGACCTACCCCGAAAATAAGACCTAGCACTATCTTCAGGGATTTCTGTAATATAAGACCTACCCCGAAAATAAGACCTAGTTCGGTGGTAGGTCTTATATTACAGAGATCCGCTAGGTCTTACTTTCGGGGTAGCGGCACATAAACTGTGTAAAACCCCCCCCGCCCACACGCCCGCCCACATTCTCCTCCCCCAGCCAGGTAAGACATCCACCGAAAATAAGACCTAGTGTCTTATTTCGTGCAAAAAAAAAAATAAGACACTGTCTTATTTTCGGGGAAACACGGTAGCTTTTGTTATGAATGACATCAGCTACGTTATCCAGCTCATACCACTTTTCTGATAGAAAATGAGCTCTTTCCCTCTGGGAACTGACACTCTCTACCAGAATAGAATGCAGGAGGGGGCAATAAAGGGCAAAAAGAGTGGAGTGCAGGAGGCAGCTGTGGGCGGTACAGAAAATGAGCTGCTCAGGAATGCTCACATCATAGAGGATGTGCTTTTACTGCAGATCACTACTCTCAGGCACTGAGACCAGAGCTGCCTGCCTGTAATTGCGGCAAGAGGAACTAGAACATTGGCTGCCAACTTGTGTTTTTGTAAATTGCTGCACTAGTTTGCAGCCGCCATCAATTACAAAACAAGCAGGCAGCTGGTACCTTAGTCCATTTTCCTGTAATAATGGGCAGGTGGCTCTAGGCTCAGTAGTCTTTCCTCCTGTACAAGGCAGAGCAGAGGAGGCACAGGTTTGCAAACGTTATACCCCTTTCCTCTGTGTATACTCTCACTTCCCCCTCAGCAAAGCGTGTGAGCTTCACTGTGACATATGACATATATGGAACTAGTATGTAAATTAGCAGCCCAGAGGTGGTTACCACAGTCCCTCAATTCAGTTCTAATTTTCAGGCAGATATGAAGCATGGCAGATTTATTTAAATGCTGTTGACCAAACCCAATAAGCATTCAATAGCAATAGATCTATATAGATCTATATCTATAGAGCTATATAGATATATATCATTTTAAAAAAACGAGATCAAGCTGATGTTAGAGTCTTCAAGTTAAGAAGATTTGCATGCTCTATTGACCCTGGTGGAAGAGAAACAAAACCTCAAATTTTGGGTTGTTATCAGAAGAGGGATACATGGGAATCTTCCAGTGGAGACACTAGTTCTGGTGACCCTGTTGACCACCAGGTATTTCCTTCTCTTTGGAGCAATTTCCTCTCCTGTTCTTGCTATCAGACAGCAAGTGAAGGGAAATCTCACCAATGTGACACAGATGTAAAAAAAAAGTTGATGGGTTATAATTCTCCTTTACTGTATTAAAAACTATGGGGTCTATTCACTAAGCTGCCATAGGCAGCCGAGTGACTCACCGACCCCAAGCGAAGTGAGCCGAAAGCTGTTCGGCTATTCACATCAGGCTGGTACGGCTGATTCCAGCCATATATCGGCTGAAATCAGCCGTACATCGGGTGGCTTTGGGTCGGCCGAACATGCTCAGCATGTTCGGCCAACCCGAAGTGCAGAAGGAGTTTTCGACTCAGCCGATCCAACATCTGAAAACGATTGTGCGGCGCTAGCAGTGACAGCTAGCTCCGCCCAACTGTTTTCTATTGGCAGGGCGGTTCTGCTGCCGTCAAAAAAAAAAAAGAATTCCCCATAGGAAAGCATAGCTAGATTCCTATTGGCTATTTCACTTTGCAATAGCCAATAGCAAACTAGCTATTGCACCCGCCCTCTGCTGCTGTCAATCACCAGGCGGGGACCTGATGGAGAATGGCAGGTCCCCCTCTGCTGGTTGACAGCAGCAGTGGGCAGGTGCAATAGCTAGTTTGCTATTGGCTATTGCAAATTGAAATAGCCAATAGTTGGCTGCCGGCAGAAAAAAAAAATTAAAAACCGAGCAGGGAAAGGTTTACTCTGCTCGATCAAGCAGAGTGAATCTTTCTGGGAGAAAGTGTTTCTCTCTCGGGCGGACGGGAACCTATTAGACTCCCAGAGCGTCCAGGGGAGGAATGACAGATGGCGTTCCTGGCTACCAGGTAACCAGGAACGCCATCTGTCATTACACACTGAGAACACAGAGAGGCCGCTCTCAGTGTGTAATGACACTGGTAACCAGCTAATCTCTCTGCAAGTGGCCCGAGCCAGCCGTGAGATGATGGCTGGCTCGGCCCAGCTGTCAGAAGCAGGCTGTCGGCCGGCCAATAGTTAGCCATTCAGCCAGCTTCGGCTTTCAGCGCGGCTCAGTGGAGCCAAGGCATATGCTGAGCCGCTCGGCCAACTTCGGGAGCTGTACGGGCTATAGGAAATATATAGCCCTGTATAGGCTATAGGAAATATATAGCCTTCGGGGCCGAAGCTAGCCAAAGGATCAGCCGAAGCTACGGCTAGATCCTTCAGCAGCTTTGTGAATAGACCCCTACAACAACAATTTGGCTTCAGTTCTACTATAACGCCTAAAGCGGGTGTGCTAATCTTGGAACTCAAGCACAAAGATTTACTACTGGAGCCCAAGTGAGATGTGAGAAAATATTACGTGGTTCAACTTTGGGCACTTTGAAAGCATTCTTTAATCTGAAGATTTTAAATGCATTTTACTTACTTTTTCTTGAAACAGGTATTCCAGCTAATATGCTATATGTAACATTTATAGATGATGAGAAATTAGAGAAATTTCGTATTGTATGGACATATTGATCTGAATTGAACTGGTGAGTTGAACCTTCTTTAACTCTTTTATCTTCTTCCTAAATAGATATACAAAGAAACAAAATATGCATTTAACCAACTACAAAAACTGTCCTGCACGTGTTTAAAAATTCCTCCACGCACTACTTGCAGATAAATTGATCAAAGATATAATTGTATTAAAGTTTTAAAGTTTTAGTTTTACTGCGTGTTGGACTCCCTTTCCCACTGCAGTCATACACATGTGAAGGAATTGAGAAGAGTACATTGTCTGGGTGGCCTCTGCTGCTTTGCATGCCATACCTGGTTTCTTATAATATAAACAATGTTATCACTATTTTGCTTATGTATGTAGTGCTAATTATCAGCATGACACCGTATATTGAGTAAACACAAAACTCTTTAAGACATCATCATTCTGGTCTACATTTTGGTTTCTCAGAAATAGGTACGCAGTCAAACAGACATTGTGTAACAATGTGTACAGTTGGAACAACCTCCACTTTTCTGTCACCACAGTTGTACAAATCAGCATTTCTCAACTGTTTTTTAGTCATGGCACCCTTTAAAAGTTTGCAAAATCTCAAGGCACCCCAATCTAAAATGTCATAGACTTTAAAGGGGCTCCCTCGCAAAAACAAGCAAAACAGTGGGTTTCCCCTTGACATTGAAGTGCCCCCTGCAAATTAAAATTCCTCCCCTTCACATCAGAATCACTCTTTGCATTAGTAGCCCTAAAACGAAACAAAACTAAACAAATTTTTTGGCAGTGCACATGTCTAGTAGCCCCCTTCACATCAGGAGCCTGCCTTTCACATCAGATGCCCCTATTTATATAAGAGTTCCTCTCTTTCTCATGAGAGAAACATGAGGAGCCCCCTTCACCTTAGTCTTTATTCCCACCTTCACATCACAGTGCCACTACCACAACATTTTGAGGAACCCCTGAGAAAGCCAGAATGCACACCAGGGTGCCATAGTTAAGAAAGGCTGGTATAGGTTGTCTAAATATAACTGCAGGACATTGGCACCAAACTTACTGCTATCAGTTTTTAGCACTTAGTACCTAGTTACAGCCTCTCTTTTCCTCTGCAACACAGATCTATGTGAGGACACTTGTGTGGAGGGGTGTGACTGATACTCAGCTCTTCTAGCACAGATTACTGGGCCAGAAAGGCAGGAAACAGCATTTCTATTGAACAATATACATTTTTAATCATGCACAAGCAAAAATCAGTCATACATCACAATATGTGCGGATATAAAGAGATAATGAGGTGTTGGAGTTCACTTGGGAACTTTAGTGGAAAATTTACGTGGGAATTTTAACGGTCAATCAGAGCAGTGTCTGGCTGACCTCCCTGCCATGGCTGTATGTGGGATCTGTGTAGGCAGAGATGCTGTCTGGTTCCTAAGTCACAGTAGAGAGCTGAAAATACCAAGGAATCAGCAGACTAGCATAACACATAGGTAGACTAAACCAGATAAATATATCACTGCACTTTTAATTTTTTTTTAGGCAATAAGTAGCACAGACAGTTTTTGACTTGATATGACATGACATTTCTGAATAACTTATCATTTAGGTGTATGTTTGAAGTGAATATACAGTAGGTTAAAAAAAACATGGAATAGGGTCAGATATGCACAAACAAAAATTATTGACACTGGAACGTTGGTTAGTGCTTTACAAATTATGTTGGTAGTAACAGCAAACATTTATTGTTGTACTACTTTTGAAGTCATTTAATAATACCATGGTAATAATACCATCTATCCAGTCATTTATTTTTTATATATATTCATCCGCCTGGTCTCAAAATCCCAGATTTTTTAAACTCTAAAGATTCTTGAAATGGAAGGCAAGACCAAAATCATAACCTGAAGATCCCAAGTATTTGACCAACACATACTGTATATCCTATCTTTCTCTTTTATTGTTAGACATCCTCCTATTACACACTTAAACCCTTTTCTGAAATTAAGGTAATGGTACTCAATCTTCTATTACAGGGGTCTCAAACTCAATTCACTCGGGGGCCACTGGGCAAATTTTCTTCTCCCATGGGGGCTGCTTGCCAAATTTCATACTTCGCAATTTGCATTTTCCTGCAGCAGGATACTCTAATCTGGCACTTACAAGCAGCAGCTGTCATTTATTCAAGTTAATGATAAGGTGACAGCCACTGCATGTAAACACCTGCACAGTGCATGTAATGGTATGTGATATGATGTGGTACATGTGGTTAGGAATCAATCACTCTCACTGAATGCACAATAAATGTGTTCAGGGAGAGTTTTCTAACTGCATGTAATCATATCACATACCATTTCATGTGGTGTGCAGGCATTTACATGCAGTGGCTCTCTCCTCTTGTTTCCCTCTTCCCTCCCTTTCCACCTCCTTTCCCCCCCCCCCACACACATAAAATAAAAGAGAGTGCCCCGTCACCTGCACATTCCCTAGTGATCCAGTGGTTGATTAGTAAGACCTTACTAATCCTTCCTTCCAGTCAGAGCTCAGAACTGTCAGAACTCCGTCCGAAAGGAATTACTAAGTGTCGGAGCTGACAGGAGTAGCTATGTGGTCTGCATCTGATAAAGATGCAGACCATGTAGCTGTTTCCACAAGTCAGGTACTGCGTACTTGACTTGACAGCTGGCTGTGTGCTGGAATTGGCCTGTGGGCTGGTACTTTGAGACCCCTTTTCTATTTTGTGACTAAAGGAAAAATGGCTGTGGAAGTATGGTTCCTTTGCCATCTGCTGATAGGAAAGGAGCTGTAGCACATTAAGTCATCCCTGTGCTCTACCTCCTTAAAGCATATTGTCACGTACCTGGTAGAGAGACTGAGGAGGCTTCTCTTGCACCTCGTGTCTTGTGGCCTTTGAGGATGGTGACAGAGGCCAGACAGACACTGAGTGGCACGAGTGCTCAGGGAAATCCAGAAATCAAGGTCACAGCAAGCCGAGGTCAAAAGCCAGTAGATCAGATAAAGTACCAAAGGGAGAAGGCAGAAGAATAATCCAATAAACGGTCCGAGGTCAAAAAGGCAGGCAGCAATCAAGGATGGTTGTTGTGGAAAAAAACAGGTCAAAGTCCAGGTAACGGTGATATTCAGGGCAAGGCAGGAATCAGGATACAAACACAAACAGGAGCTGAGAAGACAATCCAGCAACTACTGAGCATGTGAGCCGGGTTTAAATAAGGAAGTGAGCTAATCAACCCTGTCACTTCCTGTGCGCCATTTGGCGCGCTTTTATGCGCCGTATACGAGTCACTTCCGGTGCGCCCTTCTGTGAGGAAGATGTGCAATGCGCATGCATGAGCGCGTCCTTGGCGCATGCGTGGAGCGGGTCCTTGGCGCATGCATGGAGCGGGTCTTTTGCTGACACATATTCCTATTGTTATGCTGACAAACTGTGAGAAGCATTATAGCCCTAGTTGGCTTAGAGTGATGTCCCTTTCTCTCCCAGTAATGCGATGCAAGCCATTACAAGAAGCTAATATAAATACAGAATTATGATCTTACACTGGCTAAATTAAAAACGCTAGTAATTTTTAACTGGGACAATGGTTATTTATTTTATTTATGTATTTTTATGTGGAGTTTTCATGGTCGGCATCAGAATGTAAACAATGGGGAGCAATAGCAAGCCTGCTATTTCAAATTGCAATAGCCAATAACAGGTTGGCTATTGTATTGTGGTGATTAAATGTTATTTGAAATAGCTAATAGCAGGCTGGCTATTTAAACCTAGCCCACTGAGCAGAGGAGCAGACCTGAGTGAGTACTTATTCTCTCAGGTCCGTTCCTCTGCTCATAGGGCTAGGTTTCAATAGACAGCCTGCTATTGGCTACTGCAGTTTGAAATAGCTAATAGCAAGCTGGCTATTGCACCCACCCACTGAGCAGAGGAGCAGAGCTGAGAGAGAAAGTCTGGTCTGCTTTTCTGCTCAGTGGGTGGGGTTTCAATAGACACCCTGCTATTAGCTATTACAATTTACAATAGGTAATAGCAGGCTGGCTGTTGAAAATTCACCCACTGAGCATAGGAGCGGAGCTGTTAGAAATTGCTATTTTATTGCTATTTTATTGCAATTTGAAATAGCAAATAGCAGGCTGGCTATTGCTCCCAGGTGCTTACATTCACTTATAGTAATATGATTATTTTCAAGAGGAGAAGGTTCTACAGCCACACCCATAAAGCAAATATATAGACAAAAGGAAGAGTTCCAAAGCCAAAGGCTTTAGGGTGGAAAATCATGGAGGGCTTTTTAGGCAAGTATTAGACCTCCACAGACACTTAAAATTTTATAAAAATATCATGTTTTATTACAGACATTAAAATGTGCAAAACATAAAAACAATGAATGCATATTGGTGCTCAACCTAATTTTGGTTGGCATAAACCTTGTATACTCATATGCAGGAGTGATGAAAAGGTTATGATCAATGAGTCCTTAGTTGCAGCAAATGACTGTTGCTCATCTTGGAAAGCCTCAACACACATGCTATGCTATTTGAACTAACAGGCAATATCTCCATTGCAGTCCTCTCCACATTGCTCGGTTTTCTCCTGCGGCCCCCTAGGAAGAACCAAGGTTGTGACTATCTGAAGTCCTGTTTTGCTCACTGTGATAGGAGAATAGCTGCTGCTATATTCATAAATGGTTACAATCATCTACAGTAAGTTATTGGAATATGTTCCTCCTGATGAAGCCACGGATTTTCCACAACAGTAACAGTATCCGTCTATTGACTCCAACTAAGGACTCATTGATCATAACTTTTTTTTATCACTGCTGCATATGAGTATACAAGGTTTATGTCAAACAAATTTAGGTTGAGCACCAATATCCATATATTGTTTTTTGTTTTCTAAATTTTTTATGTCTCTAATAAAACATGATATTTTTATACAATTTTAAGTGTCTGTGAAGGTCTAATACTTGCCTAAAAAGCCCTCCATGATTTTCAGCCCTTAAGCCTTTGGCATTGGAAGTGTTCCTTTTGTCTATACGCTTACATTCACTTATCGGCTGCGGAAGCTAGCCGGCAAGTGAATAAGGCCATGGGGTGGGGGGTGCGTGGGCTAGGGTTATAATGCTTCACACAGTTCTGTCAGCATAACAATAGGAATATGCTTAAAGGAAGTGGAGCACGGGGATGATTTCATGCTACAGCTCCTTCATTGTCCAATCAGCAGCTACCAATCCCTGTGGGTGTTCCGGTAATTGGCGTTTACTGTATATCACTAACACATTTGCTTTGTAATCCATAAAATACATCAGAAAAAAAAGATATTGGTATATTTAATAACACAAAACACCACAAAATAATAACTAAATAAAAACACTGAATGAAAAAATGCGAACAATTGTCACAGTTGTTTAATTGCGGTGACTAAACATAATGCCTAAAGCTGTTCTGAAATTTTAATTATATCTAAAGTCTAGCCAATATCTTTAGCAATTAGCAAAATGGAAATGGATGGACCGGTATAATTAAATCATACTCACCACAACATATTCATCCTCGATGTACAAGTTCATGAAAAGGAGGCAAAATATTAGAACTCCAAGGAACGGTATTGCTGAACGCTTTCGAAAACATCTCATTTTATCCAGATATTCAAATTCAGTTGTTGTAGGAATAAATGCATATATTACCTAATAAGAAACATAAATTATAAATATTTTTTTCCTAATTCCAAATTTCTAGTCATAATGTTAGCAAAAAAAAAGGAAAAATATTATGCAGCAGGATACTGTGATGTCCTCTCTACCAGTGACATTAAAATATGTATGCACTTATAACTGTTACATAAGCTATATCCACTTACATTTAGTTAAAATTACAAATGTTACCAAGCCAATTCCTGATCATAAAGGCAAAATATAGTGGATTTTCAGTTAGCACTTTTTTGGGGGTTATTACTATTATTATTATTATACAGGATTTATATAGCGCCAACAGTTTGCGCAGCACTTTACAATATAGGGAAGAAATTATAATTACAATGCAATTCAAGACAAGATAAGGACGGCCCTGCCCGTGAGGGCTTAAAAGTAGTTTTGATTTCGCTTGTATTACATTTTCATAGGCCCGTCAATAAATGCTTAGCAACATAGTGATTTATTTGTATTCATTCAAAACTACAAGGCACTCACAACCACTGAGAGGTACTACAGAGCAGGTAGCACAGGATGCATGTGCAATAAGCAGGTACTGTTGCCTATATGTAAATAACTAACAATATTTAAAAAGGTTTCTTATAGTTCTTGTTAGTTGTATACTGTGTGTAAATGCAATCAGTATACAGTGTTTCTGTAGGCATTTTTTTTCTGTCTGTCCTTATTTTGGTGACAACTGTACGATTCTGGATTTCCTATCACTTTCTGTCCCTGGGTGACAGCGACTTATAATCTTCCAGGAGAAAGAGGTTCCCCTTCACATGACTGGATATTTAAAATGGAGGTTCATAACATTTTTTTAGTGAAGATTCTCAACTTTGATAAATCAGCTTCTATGAGTAAGGTATGACCTGGCTGGAAATAATAATTTAATAATCTATACATTTCAGTCCATTTCCATTGAATAGTGATGCAAATTCCTTTATTCACAGATAAAAATTCAAGAGGGGGCCATACTTATGCAGATACGAAGTGCAGGCACCTAGAAGTGGCTACATATACCTGCAGTAGCCTCCAAACCTTTTTATCATAGCCGAATGTTGAGACATTCTGACATTACCTGGAAGTGTAAATGCTTACCATTTAGTCCCTCCACATTTCTATTGGCCCATCTTTATGATGGGAAGCTTCTCTGACCATAAGAAATATGCAAGAAGGAATGTGGGGGCACACTTTTGTATTGTTGTTGGCCCAGACAGCAAATGGGATATGCTTATCTGTACTTCTAAATAGACATGTGCGATTCGTTTCGTTCCGAATCGAAATTCGGACGAATTTTCGGAAATTCGGACATTCGGATGTATCCGAATTCCGAATTACAGACATAACGAATGCAAACGAATCCGAATTTCCATTTCCGAAATTCGGTAGCGTTCGTACGAACGTTCGTTTCGTTTTCTGTTCTTATTCGTTTCTTATTCGTTTCTTATTCGTTTCGTTCGTTGGAGCAAAGTGACATTAGAGTCACTTTAAAAAGGTTCTGCAAAAGTCAGAGGGCCTCTATATAACTAGCCCTCACACTAGGATGAGTAATCTCAAATCCAGTTTCTACTTTAAATGTAACCTACTTGGAGGGTACCAGAATTACCAAAAATATCTTCAAGGCCATCTTTCCTCTGCTGCTTATTCATGTGGTTTAGCAGAAATGCCATTCTTAAAATTAATGTTCTCCTTTGTCTGCTCTATTTGTTCTAGACCTTACCCATCAGGATCCCTACACGCAGATTTGATTAACTTTATCTGGACTAAAAATGGTCTAGACTGGACTATTGAATTCTATCATAATTTAATCAGACTGAAGGTATCGGCTTCCTTGAGACATTTAATTAGTATGGTGTATCTCACTTTGCCAGAATCCTGGATTGGTGTATGTACTTCTAAACTTTGGGTTTAACTTGACCAGAAGAGCACATAAATCCCTCTGTCTGGTCTCCCCTGGTTACCACACACTCATTTGAGAGCACTCCAGAACCACCTCACCCTAAATGTTGCCCTTTCCACTAACATAATGTACACAACAAAGAAGAAAACAACTAGTATGACCCCAGGTCTAAGGAACACATATTTTCAACCAGGTTTGACAGACCACCAGTTTCTAGATCCACAAAAACTAGTCTAGACTTAAAGATTACATAACTACAATGGGTGTTCTCTTGCTTTTGGACCTTCAATCTCTGACTACTTCCCCTCTTTCTAGGTGAAAGATCTTGCAACTGCATCATTTTCTGTCAGTATTCTATAGGAAGCGTGACTATTCTCAGAAACTCACCCCTTTTGAAAAACTCTGCAAAGAGAGAGGAATACTTAGACACACAGTATATCAAACACACTCCCTCCTCTTGAACCCCCTGACCAATTTTGCCCCCTTTCTTGATTAAGTGTGAAAAGGACATACAAATGGAGTTCACTCCAGAACAGAGAGATAATAACCTTTACTTTACCCATCGTGCCACTATCTCAAACAGATTCCAGAAATCCATCTACACAATTCTAATTCAGTGGTACATGGTTCTCTTGAAATTACATAAACATGTTAAAAATTATATGAAACTTAAGTGAATGGTTTACATGCAAAAAAACAAATGTTCCCCAGAAAGGGATCCCACCATGGTTACAAAGTGTAGAACAAATTTATTGTAAAAATGAATTTATTTCTAAATATATTAAAATGCATACGTGTCAAAAAAAACAAACAAACATATAAATATCACATATATGACTGCTCTCGGCTAATATCTTAGAAAATGCTTAAAAAAGCCCCACCGGGGCTTCGTCACAAAACAACGCCCTTTCTGACAAAGCCCCGGTGGGGGGTGAAACGCCAGACATCAGCGTGTAGCTAAAGTGATGATCTTTCTCCAGCTTTGAATTTTACAGTCCTCCAATAAAGTATGTCAAAAAGTTTCTCATCAAGGATAAAATAAAGCATTTTAATATATTTAGAAATAAATTCATTTTTACGATAAATTTGTTCTACACTTTGTAACCATGGTGGGATCCCTTTCTGGGGAACATTTGTGTTTTTGCTATTAACCGTGTGAATCGAATACGTTCTTTGTTACTAGTTTCATACTTTGAAAAACCTTCCCTTCCCCATCTGTTTATCTTTGATTGGTTTACATCTACTTTAATATTTTTTAAATAATGTTATACAGTTAATAGAGTTAAAGAAAGAACACTTTAAAGTCTTACTCTGTATTATTTTTCACAGCTCGGTCACCTAACTCCCACACTATACAGTAAACTCCCTGTTATCTGGCATCCATGGGGATTGGTAGATTCCAGATAAATGTAGTTTCTGGTTGCATGAGAGTTACTATTTAAAAATGGTTTAAGGGGCGTGGCCGACCATGGCGGACTGAGGTCGCATTGAGCTGAGCTCTGCAATACCAGGACTCTGAACAGTGAAATTTATCCCTTTCCAACCCCCTTACTTGGCACATGACCTCGAGGCTGTCTTCTGCCTCAGCCACGGAACCGGCCGGTACCCGCGATATCGCGGCTTTCTTTGTGAGGATCCCGCAGCAGACGTCCTCCGGCGGGGACAGCACCATGCGGCCGAAGGCCTCGGATAAGAGCAGGCCAGCAGGGGATCCGATGGCCACTACGTCACAGGGCCCAGGCAAGGCTGGTGTGAAAACAGCCGGCCAGAAACAGGCTCCCTCTCATGTCTCCCCTGCCGTCCCTCCTGCATCCAAAGCCCCACTCTCTCCTGCCAGCTCCACTGCCAGCTCCCCTGCCAGCCCCATGGACCCATCCATGCCTGCTGTCCTCATGGGACCGGATCAGGAGCAGGGCAGACTTTGACTCCTGGGCTGTTCATTACTCTAGCCCGACGGCTCAGGTCCGGATCAATGGCTCTCTTTCCCCACGGTTTAAGATCTCCAATGGTACCAGACAGGGATGCCCACTATCTCCATTGCTCTATGTACTATCTATGGAACATCTGGCGGTGTCACTTTGCAGGAATTTGGCGATTCCGGGTCTGTCAGTGGGGCCTTTTCAGCCCAAATTAGCTCTCTTTGCAGATGACCTGTTAATCTATGTCCCCCATCCCCATACCTCGATGCCCCCCATTCTCCAAGAGTTCACCCGCTTTGGTTCGCTTAGCAACTTCAAGGTGAACCTTACCAAATCAGAGATCCTGAATGTATCCTTGGATGAGAACGATCTGTCCCAGCTTCGAACTAACTTTTCATTCCGCATCTGCCAAGCCTCAGTAAAATATCTGGGAATCCATCTCTCGTCAGACATTTCTCAGCTCTTTGCCCTCAAATATGTCCCCCTCCTCCAGCGGACTGCTCTGGACTTGTCCATATGACACATATTTGGTGGAGTTGCCCTCCTATTAAAGAATTCTGGCAGGCAGTGTTGGATGTCCATCACCGAGTGACAGGCACAGTGATTCCCAACGATCCCCGGGTTGCACTGCAAACTATGGTACCAGGTTCCCTAAAGTCCGTGAAGAGGGGCCTCTTGCGACACTTTCTCACGGCCGTGAGGGCAGTTATTCCCCGGCACTGGCGTACACCGGTGCTCCCTACCTTGGCGGAGCGGACTGTGGAAGTGGACCGTATTGCGGACCTGGAGCGGCTGTTGGCGGATGAGCATGACACCAGAGATAGGTACACTGTCACATGGTCCGTCTGGCTAGACTTCCGAGCCTCAGCTACATTCTCGGCCGGGGTCCTCCCTTAGGCATTATGGGAACCTCCTGGAGGCCCAGGACGCTCTGACGGAGGGGGGGACAGGGGAAGCCCGCCTGGCACGGGTCCGTGGGCTCCTCTCAGTACTGACCTCCCTCTGTTTTCAGCCCCTTCTTACCCTCTCTTCTCTCTACTTAGCTTTCCTACCCCTCTTCCTTCCCTCCTCTGGTTCTCCATCTGTTCTCTCCCATATTTTTCCTTGTTTTGTTCGCTCTTTCAGCCTTGGTGGAATCCTTCCTCTGTTACTTACCTGTTCTGTTTTAACATATGATCTGCTTTACTGGAAGGTACCCTTCTGCATATTAGTCTGGTCCCAGAAACCATCGGATCGGGCTTGTACGCCCTTAACTATATACGGCATCCTGAAGCACCACCATCTGGAGGGTCGGTACCTATAGCCGCACAGGCGGCACACCATAGTGGGACCCTCACGGGTCATACTCATCCTTTATTCTATACCCTCTAGTCCGGGGGTGTGTAGCTTTGACTGTGTCCAAGTTTCTGGATCTTTTGTGTTTTAAGTACTGTTGTACAGCTACTTTGATTTTAGTATTTCAAGCCTTTATTGTATAACTTGTGAAACCATTAATAAAACTTTATTGAACTAAAAAGGGTTTAACGAATGCTATACCCCATACTATAGCATATCATAACAGTATATTGTACTCTAAACCATTAGCAATACATTGCAGTACTGGGAGTGATTACTAGGTGGCGTTTGTTTACAGGATAACACAGAACTTTCACAAACGATCGATCAGACATCATTTTTCCAAGATAACAGCACTTTTTAGAGATCATTCAGACACTCAATCCCAGGATAATCCAGCATTTTTCAGTCCATTCCTGTACTTTTCTATGCTCCAGAGCCTGTACTGCCTCTCCTAGAAGGTGGCAGATCGGCAGAACAGAAAGTACACAGGGGATTTTTTTTGCCGGTTAGTTCCAGTTAGCTGAATACTGGATAACAAAGAGTTTACTTTATTTTGCTTTTTGTCCCATGCTTCTATGTTCAGTCAAAGCTGAGATCGAGATGGTGACAGCACGTCCCTCCTGATTCCCAACCATGCTCTGCAAAGAAGATGGGCCTCATGATTTACAACTGTTATCTCAGTGTCCCTGCACCTTCCAGACACAAAACAAGGCTCCCCTACCGATAGTGTCTTTGCTGATTACTGTGAGATCATATCCCCTTGCCCTACATTTCAGTAACCTCACTTGTGTTAGAAAGTGTAGAGACAGTAAGATAAGAACTGTAAATCAAGAGGCCATCTCCTTTGCAGAGCATGGTTGGGAGTGGGGATGCTGTCACCGTCTGGATCTCAACTTCTACTGCACACAGAAGCACAGAATAAAAAGCAAAATATACTGTGGGAATTAGGTGATTGTGCTGTGAAAATAATGCAAGATAGGTTTAGGAAATGTTATAACCTTTGTCTGGTTTTGATTGCCCTCCTGGACCTGTTATGGAAATTTGCCCTCACTTCTATTCAACAGGGATTAAAGCAGTAATATGAACGTTGGCAAAAGATGAGAAATGATGACACTGTATCCCAAATAAAAACATTCTTCCATACATTTGCATGAAATGTAAATGACTTAGGAAGAGTTCTGCAAGAACCATTTATTTTAAGACTGCAAAGAGAAAAAACAGCACGCCACACCCAAATGGAGAGTCTAAATATAGGGTTTTATTCCAATTAAAACAGATTGATATGTTCTGCATAAACAGCCTTTGTATTAAGCAGTCAAATGGTTCCCCTATCAAATAGTTGTATACTTCATAAATATAATAGTTGTATATGGTTGTATAGGTCTATACATATATTACGGACTTCTTCTTCCTCTTGCATGTACCTTTTAACCCCCAAAGCGTATTTGTTACATATGCAGAATGTATTAACGCGTTATAATGGAATAACATCCTACAATTGGACTCTCAAACT